TTGCCTTGCGACTTGCAGAATGATACGCCCACCGCACCTCTCAAGCGCTGCCCTAAACCCTAAACCCTAAACCCTAGGGGTTTAGGGTTTAGGGTTATTCCCACTCCTCCCCTTCCCCAGAACTAAATCCTTCACCCCTGAACCTTCCCTCCCCCTCCTCTCCCCTTCCCTAAACCTTAAACCCTAAAACCTTAAACCCTAAAACCCAAAACCCCTAACCCCCTAAACCCCTAAACCCTAGATAGTAGTTTCCATTTCCTTTTCCCTCCTCCCTATATATGCCCTATATATCCCCAGTACATCCCCAATATATCCCTTATATACCCCCCCATCCCCAAAGATCCCCAAAACCCAACCCTAAACCCAAAAGGCGTGCCTGCTCCTTGCGGAAGCCCTCAGCAGCGATATGTCCGAGGCCCGGAATGCAGCCCAGGAAAGCAACCACTCGGTCCTGCTTGGCTTCGCGTTTTTTGGGTTTAGGGTTTAGGGTTTATGGTTTAGGGTATAGGGTTTAGGGTTTAAGGTTTAGGTTTGAGGGTTTAGGGCTTGGGGTTTAGGATAGGGTTTAGGGTTCAATATGAAAACATGATATGGGTTGAGTTCTTCACCATTGTGCATGATACCGGCGAGTGTTTAAAACGGAGCGGGGGATTGGGAGGCACAGCCCGCAAGTGCAGAACATTCATGGATATGGCAGTTGTTGATGAGTTGATGAGTACCTGAGCCCCAAGACCATGTAGAATAATGGCCTTTGGGCCGTTGTATGGACTTGGGGCGATTATTTTACCTACTCTTTGGGGCCTAGGTATTCGCCCTTGGACATGATACGGGCTCATGTTTCCAAACGAGCGGGGCAGTTCGGGGAGCGCAGCCCCCAAGCAACTGATGTTGCTGAGGAGTCGCTATGAGATGGACACCACCCGAACCCCAAAAGCATGTGAAATGATGGCCTTTTGGGCTGTTCTGAGGGATTTTGGGCTATCATTTCACGTACCTTTAGGATTCAAACAGGAAACACCAGTCCACCAAAAGATCTAGGCAACCGGCAACCTCTCCAGCAACATGTGACAATCTATTGTGGATGTATGGGGATTTCTCAGAGACCGTGCCCTGAACCCTAAACCACATCATGCATGGGCCTGAATATTCACCATGTAATTTTGGGGGTCTATTGCACTCGATACCCTAATTTTACATGGAGTGTAGGACCATAAAACTGGTCTTTATTTAGACGTCTTCAGTAGGGTCTCCTTCAGGCTCCTATAGCAGCCCTAAACCCAATAACTCCAAACCCTGACGCCTAAAGCCTTGACCCTACATGATATCCCTGGGATTGTACAAGATTTGCTACGGAGAAACTCTTAGATCCATAATTCCCGAGCCGGGTCCAGACCACTGACCTTTTCGAAGTTTGCGAGTGCGTACCTCTATCTTCGAAGCGGGGGGTGTTTTATCCGGGATATATGAAGGGGTCCTAAAATTAGGGGTGCATTTTGGGGGGGTCAAAGGGGTTGTATAGGGGAATATAGGATTTAGGGATTTAAGGGTAAAGCGGTCTCAGGGTTTAGGGTCGAGGGGGGTGTTGGGCGGTTTTGTTTTTTCTGAGAAACCCCTTGACGACTGCACCGCAATCCTGGTGACGGCGAGTGTGGTTCGACGTATACACTTCGAGACCTACAGCGCCGGAGTCAACAGTCAGTAGTCGTTCTTGTTGACCCTAAACCCTACCTTAACCTACCAAAACCTACTTTTTTGTAGGGTCCTATTACAACCCCTAATATAGAATTTATAGGGAACCTACAAAAAAGTAGGTTTTGGTAGGTTAAGGTAGACCCTAAGCCTTAGGGTGAACGGCCCAGGGTCTAGACCTAGCCCATAATCAGCTAAGAGTTGGTAGAAAACAATGCGCGCGATCAACCAGCAGCCTGGGACATTCAGTTTCAATACACTACTGGAGGGCCAGGCTTAATTAGGGGTCTAGGGTGTAAGGGATTTAGTTTAGGGTTTAAGGGATGAGGGTGTAGGGTTTAGGCCGGAAGTATATCTATATATATATATATGTATATATATATATATGTATATATGGACACACCCCCCCCATGATCCACCAAGCCCCTGAAAACACTGTAAATACTGATAAGAACAAGCGTTTTCGCATGATCGGATTTTGGACACTCACCATTTTCGGATTGGATTTTATAAAAATTTGATTTACATGCATCAGAATCCATTCCAAAACCAGGAATGTAAGATCCCACGATTTTCGTTTTAGATCTAATTGAATTTAATGAGGGATTTATATGAACAGTGGCTTCTGGTTTCTTTAATTCCCTTATTAAATGAAATGGAAAATAGAAGGGCAATACAGAAAGCACCAAAACCACAAAAACCAACAAAACCAACTTTTGGGGGAACTATGGTGGCTGCTGAAAATGTTGGTTTTTTTGGTTTTCCTAGGAAAATGTTGGTTTTACAAAGAAAAACCAACTTTTCCCTTTTCCTTAGGAGAAAGTTGGTTTTTGGTAGTCGTGTGCTCCAAAAACCAACTTTTTCCTAGGAAAAAGTTGGTTTTTGCCATGCATTGCCTCTGTTTTTTTTGGAATACAAACTTTTTTAGGAAAAAACTGTTTTTTGGAGTTCAGGCCTTTGAAAAACCAACTTTCCCCAAGGAAAAAATAGTTTTGCTTTGTAAAACCAACTCTTTCCTAGGAAAACACACCAAAAAAAACAACATTTTCAGCAGCCACCATGGTTCCCCCAAAAATTGTTGTTGTTGTTGTTTTTTGTGGTTTTCCTTTGTTTTTGGTCAGTCCAACAGAGAAATGGCCTCGGAAGAGGATCTCTATACTTGAAGGATTCCAAAACTTCGGTATTAAATCTAATTAGTTTTATATAGAGGCTTTATATAAACAAGCCTCCAGTATTACAGGATTTTCGTATTAATTCTAATTAAATTCTATAAGGGATTCAAATGAACTAGAATCCATTCCAAAACCAGGACTTTAAGATCCCAGGATTTTCGTTTTAGATCTAATTGAATTTAATAAGGGATTGATATGAACCAGGACCACATCCAAAATCAGTAGTCCAGGACTCCCGGATTCCAATATTCATATATTGAATTCAGGATTTCTGTGTTGAATTTAATTGAATCTATTTAAGTTATGTAGACCAGAAACCATGCCACAACCAGGAATCTAGGATTCCACGACTTTCGTAATAAATAGAACTTGAATTTAATAAGTGATTTTCAACCAGGACCACACCCAAAGCCAGCAATCCACGACTCCAGGATTCCCGCATGAACATATTCAATCCGAAATTCCCCTATCAAATCTAATAAACTTAATTGGAATCTGTCTGGAATTTCAATCAGATGGAGAGCCATGTATCCAGGATTCCAGGATCCTATGANNCATATATGTACATGAACGCAACTGAAATACGATTTTCACCCAAAAAAAAAGCCTCTTCGGTGGATCATGGGGGGGGTGTGAGCATATATATATATGTATCTATATATTCCAATATGTTTCAATCCTAGCATGGCAACCCCCAAACAGGACCCCGAACTTTTTTAGCAACCAACATGACTTCTGTTCATGCAGGCAGCTCTGAATTTGCTTGGGGCGACAAAGCTAAGAAACGATTAAAGGTTTAGGGTTTTTGGCTGCGAGGTTCAGGTTCTAGGGTTTAAGCTTTGGGCTTAGGGACCCCAACAATAAAGCCTCACCCCCCCTTAATGATGAATGCCCCCATCAAGATAAAATCACGATGGATTCCCGGAAATATCTATTCTTCGGGGCTTGGAAGCATCTATTATAAGGGAAGGTTGTTATTTCTGGGAACCTGGCACCCTACGGTTGAGAAGGCAAATCCTGGGAATTACAGAACTTTAGGGACTTTAGGTGGTGCAACAATTCCTCCATCAAGAAGAACACACAACATGGGTCCCATGACATGGGTAATCCTCAAGGATTTCGTTTGTCTGGACGCACTAATTTGAGGGAGTATCTAGACGCTTAGAAAAACCTGTGTCCATGTCAGCATGCGCCTGACAACCCCGATGGTCGCCGGCAGCCTGAAACCTATTCCTAAACACTAAACCTCAACCATAAACTCATTGAGGCCGCGGGCCCAAGACCCTGAACCCTGCAGCACCTAACCCCACAATCCTCAGATAAGAAAAATCTGAATTTTGCAGAGCGCAGCACAAGCCCTAAACCCTGAACTGAACCACAAAACACCAAGCCCTAACCTGAGGGACCCCCCACCCTGTAATAATGGTATGATAGGAAAAGAAGAGGACCCTGATATAATCTTTATCATCCCTAAAACCCTGGGCCCTAAACCTCAAACCCTAAAACCTATACCCTTAACCTCTAAACGCTAAAAAACCCGAAGCCCTTGACACTGAACGGTCTTCTCTAACCTACAGGGCGCAACGTAAGGTCGATCTGCTCCTGAAAGTTCAAAGCTGCAACATGAAGTTTACATAGGCTTTAGGCTACCCTAACCCCGAACGTATGTAGAATGATTGCCTTTTCTGCTGTTTTCAGGTGTTGATGCTATGTTTTACCTACTTTTGGGGCCCAGGTTACACCCATCAAGTTAGAATAGGGTTTTGAAATGTCTTTGCTTTGACTGCGCAAGGGGCCCGGGGTATAAAGGAGTCATTTTGGTAATGATTCAGGCTTCTTCACTAGGTGTCGAGCCTTTGGGCATTTAAGGTTTGGTACACGGCTGATGGCGAGGCTTCAGGACTATATCCTCCCCAAAACTAGCATGTGTGCTCTGGATTTTAGGGTTTGGGGTTTTAGTCGTTCAAGGATTCACGGCCTTTGCCTGGTTGTTCTTGACGCCCTCAAGCTTCCAGGAGTTGTCCATCTCCCATTTCTCCAACAGCATCTCCGCCTGAAACTGGAGCTTCAGCCTGGTAAGCAAGCAGCAACGGTACGCAACAGACGACAGACAGAGGCCCACGCAGAAAGGACAGGCGCCAAATCTTGCTTGAGTGGGATGCTCATCAAATCGCAGATGTTCTGGCAGTAGAAAAGGAAATCGGTTGCCGGGTAGCTCTTGGGCGTGTCCATTGCCTCACCACGCCACAAGTCAATCTAGTGGTTGCACAAGCAGGAAGTTCAACATCACAGCCCAGACACAGCGTGGGCAAGCGTGGCCATGATGAGGGCGGAGCTCACGGACCGGTCCCCGTCCTCGCCACCTTCAATGGTCGCTAGGGAGAAGGGCTCAAACGAGCAAAAGCCAGAAATCACCACCTTCAATGGCAGCCGCTGTTGCGGCACTGTTGTTCGCGACAATCCCCCACACTTGGGGATTACTTGGAGGAAGTCCACGAAATCATCGCCTCACGCCAGATTGAGATAAAGCACGCAGGCTGAAGAACTATGAGCATCACAGCCAGCTACGGTTTTATAACTGTAGCTGAGAAGCTGCGTTCCTTGGAGACGTCCCAAGGTGTGTTTGCCCCAAGGGACTTGAGGCCGGCCAGGGCCCCAGTCTTGATAGCCTTCACACTCAGACACTAAAATCTCTTGCACAAACAGCAAGGTGAACTTGAACCCACGGTAGCCCCGTCCTCAAAATCGTGCTGGTCCACAAAGGACTGCGTGAAGTCCAAAAATTTCACGAGCTCTTCGAGTAGACCTAGGTGTCAGTTCCTTCCACCCAACAAACTTTAAGGCATGTGTAAGCTACGGGCACCAACATTTTTCGTCTCCGTCCATATCGCCTCATGTGTCCAAAGCAGAAGACCCTGAAAACCTCGCGTGCATTGAAACTGAGAGATCTTATACGCCTGCCAAGCAGCCGCCGGCCATGAGGGAGTTCAAGAATCCAGCACGGCTGAGCAGGATGGTGTTGACCGGGAGTGGACCTGTCGGCAACGCTTCGATTTCACACACATCATGCACAATGTGGGCACAACAATTTCACGGAGCCTGCGTAGCTTGCCGGCGGCACCACAGCATTCAAGACACAAACGTCTTGAAAGCTGTGGCTTGGGTAACGCCACACCTGGTTTGCAGCCGAGTTACAGGAACAAGATCTATTTATCCGAGTTCAACTTTCATAAAACCCCTAGATTTGAAAAACTTGCTTTGGGTCCTTGCGGGGCCCAAGAGCTTGAAAGGCAGCCTGCTACTGGTTTTTTTAATTGATATAAAATAAGGCTTTCTTCATCTACAAACGTGTTGAAACAGCTTGCTCTTATCAAAATGAGGAGGAGCCTGAGGATCTTGCCCGAGAGTCAATAACTTGGCTGACCTGAAAACCATAGTGGGAAGGCAGACACTGAAACCTGCCTCACTTACAAAAGCTTCTTGAGTTGATTCGCAAGCACAGATTTGGCCGCCCTTACGGAGCTTGCCTGACAGGGTCTTTCTTCATCTATAAAGATCCTAAATTGAAAGGAAAGTTCGCATGGGTTTCTCGGAGTAAAATAGGTCTCGATTGATTTACAAATTTGTTCAGGTAGCTTCTCGTTTCTCTTATTGGACGCAGTAGCTCAGCTTAAACTGTGTAAGGTTTAGGCAGAATCACTTATGCGGCCGCGCTGAAAATGAGAGCTCGAACATTACTTCCTGAGCTACCTTACGGACCTCAGGGTCGCTCTTAAATTATAGAAACACTCCAGAGTCATTGCAGACATGCTTAGTTTCTCGTTGCTTCTAAACAGACTTTGATCGAATTACAAAGGCGTTGTGGGGGTTTCCAAACAGATGTGTTTGTTAGACTCAGGAGCTCACACTACACGGCTTCAAGTCAAGAGCGACTCACCTACTTGGCTGCTATGAAATCGAGAATCGGACAGCTGAATCTGAAACCTGATTTGGTTGCAAAGAATTTTAGATATTAGAGAGTAAAGCCTCAAACAATACGTCCGGAGTCCTTTTTAAGGAGCTTTAGAGGCAGGGGCTCTCTTCATGCGTGCAGATGTGAAGAAGCAGGGTGGTTTTCAGAATCATGCGCATACGACATTATCTTGGGGAGGAGCCATTTGTTGTTGAAAACCGAGGGCTGTGTGCAGCAGAACACGAACCCAGCAAACACACGCAGACGTATCTAGGTGTCAATTTTGCACACCAACCGGCTTTTCCACACAGAGCCCATAAGGAAGAAAATTACCAACAAGTTCACTGCTTTACTATAGAATATACAATGAGCGAAGAATTGAAGGCACAAACCAACAGTCAAACAAACATATCAACCAAGCGAACAAACCAACAAACAAAGAAGCTAACTCTTCAAAGGGATCAAGGCCATTAAAAACAAGTCGATGCACAGACTGCCAGACACGAAGAGGCCGAGCAATGAGTGAACAAACAACAGAGGAAGACGATGGACAAGACAAACAGCGAGCGGTAAGCAACCAAAGCCCTAAACACAACGGAAGAACGAACAAGAACGAAGCCACCAGGCAAGTAGACAAAGCCCACAAATTCTATGGCAAGGCCAAGACACAGCAACCTTGCCCTCAACGAAGGAGCCGTCCGCCCGGACAATCACACAGTCGTCCGCGGCGAGCTTCGGGAAGTCTTCAGTGCACAACGCGAAGGATGTGCCAGACTCGGCAATCCTGGCGGTTGCAAAGGCAGAGGCGTCAGTATCACCAACGGCCAAAGCAAGATCTGCCCTCCCAAAAACCTGAGGGCATGGCCACCGAAGCGCGGGCTTGTTCTGCCACTCGCTCTGCGTGAAGCGGAGCTTGTCCAGGCAGGCTTCCAACGCAGAGCGCGTGCCATTGCACAAATTGTGCGGCACGGGGTCTGCACCTCAGTCACGGCTGAGCGGTACCGAACTTTGTCGCTAAGACCACCCAGGCAACCCTAAAGAACAGAACAGGCACCCAGGTCTGAGGCAGCAACCCTTCTGCTGGAGCAGCGCTATGGGAGTGGACTCCTCGCCCTTGCCACGGAGCAGTCACACTCGCCATTCGCAAAATCAAAGCAGACAAGCTAAAGCAGCCCTCGGCTGCAATGCTGAACTTGAAGTTCTGCACCGGCACGCGCGGCAGGGGATCACCGCGGCCTGGTTCCTGCAACGGCTGCACCGCTATAACTCCAAATCTGCCACAACATCCTGCCGTTAACATAAGGAACAACAGAAAAGGCTCCTGGTACGCGTGCAGCGACCCATTCAGGAACGTCTGGGTAGCTTCGCGGCATTTGTCCAAGACAGCCTCCAGCATCCCCTTTGCCGTCTCACCTGTGCACGTAAATCACAACCCGACTGCGCAACAGCCCATGCAATTCACTGAGGCACTCGCGCGACCCCTGCGGGCCGCAAGAAACTCGAAGAGGAAGCGTTGAGAGCAAGGATGGTGTCAAGCCTGACGCGTGAGCAAACGTTTAGTGCATCTTGCTGAGAGGCGTGCCACAACGTGACACATGAGCACCCTGGCCGGGTGCGTGGCGCCTTTGGTCTGTGCGCTGACAGAGGTCAAGGCCCAGCTCAGGCATCTGCGCCAAAGTAGCCGCCTTTGCCTGCCGCGTACACATGGTAAGGCAGGAAAGCACCCGAATAGCAGCGCAAACGACATGAACATAGAGCAGTGCCTCCATTTTGCGGCTGCTTTCTGGGACCCAGATGTCCCAGTCCTCAAGCTGCGTGCTGATCATCATAAAATCGAAACCTGTCCTAAACCATATCGTGTTAGGAGCTCTAGGTCTGCCAGGGGTCCAGCAAAGAATTGAACTGCCTTCGCTCGCTTGCTGTCTGCGCAGTTCGGTCACTGGTGCTAGTGCTCGCTGTTTAGGGTGAAGTTCTAGGGTGCTAGCTGTTCAGGCCCAAATTCAACCAAGGGCCTAAACCATTTGCATAAAGCTTTGTCTGCAAGTAATACTGTACTCTCCTACAAGGGCCATTTCAAAATGTAAGCTGAGGCCGCTGATCTGGGATGTCGGCATTCTACATGTTCAGTAGGTCCAGAACTCTTCGGGGCTTGCATTTGAGGAATGTTCTGGAGATTTTAAGGTTAAGGGCTTCAAGCCTAATCAGCATTGGGGGCACACACGTATTGAAGTCTTCACTAATCATAACGACTTTTGAATCTTGCTTAGGAAAACCCTATACAAAAACCCGAAACCCAAACCTCAAGCCCCAAGCCTTGAGCCCCCAAGCGTAAACCCCAAACCGTAAACCCCGAGTATTGTGTTTGATGGCAGCTCGACCAAGTCAGGTTTTTGCTTCTTCTAAATACGATAAGCAAAAGCAGGATAAGATCTTACTCGATACTGGGGAATGTAATATGACAATCTAAAATAGCACTCTAACCCTAAAGCAAAAAAAACTCCACCCTGGAACCCTAAACCCTAAACCCACCTTGAAATTGTACTCACCTGGGACCCAACCTGGAACAAACTCTCAAACGCGCTGCTGGCCGTTCCCATGCGAGCTGCCCAAGCGCCCCCCAAACACACACGGAACACTCTTCCAAGGCGTTAAGGGTTTGGGGTTTGGATTTTTCGCTTTGGGGTTTAGGACTTAAGTTTCAGAGGTTAGGGCTTAACGTTTCCTTCTGCAGGCCCGTGTAAGAATGGACTCCATAAGGTTCAGAAGACTTCCTGATAACTACGTGGAATGAAGGGGAGTGAACGTAGTGACCGATATGCGGAGATTGCATTGCGATCATTATCAGGATATGCTCTCAAACTCTCCGGGGGGTGTAGACACGCCGTGTTCGCAAACCCCTCGGCCTAAGACCCTCAACCCGAACCATAAATCCTGAAACCCCTGTACTTTGCAACAAAATCCCTTGCCCCCTTAACCCCTAAACCCTGAACCCTAAACCCTGAACCCTCGTATCCGCCGCAAAACTGGGCCTGAGCCTGCAGTCGCGGAATGCCCACATCTAAGAAGATCATTGACCTGGGCTTTCTAGGGGTTTAGGGTCTAGGGGTATATGGTTTAAGGGTTTAGGGTTTGAGGGTTTTGGGGTTTAGGGGTTTGGGGCTTTCGGACTAGGTGGGTTAAGGGTTTTAGGGTTCAGGGTTTAGGGTTTGGGGTGAAGGGTTCAGGGCTTGGGGCTTAGGGTTTAAGGTCTGTACGACACAAAAATGTTATCCGTCTACGGAATTCTCAGACACTATAGGACTTTACCATCCGCTTTCTAAGAAGATCATTGACCTTGGCTTCAGGATTTGGGGTACACGTCTGGGTTAAGGGTGGAGGGTGGAGGGTTGTGTCTTTGGGGCTTATACGGGT